AAGGGGCTGTTCTGATTAGGTTAGTGGCAATTTAACCACATGCCGAGTCATGATTGGACCCAAAGAAATAGGAGGTTGTAGGCGGTGTAAGTTTGGAATATATGATGCCTATATATATGAGTTTAGCATTAGATAGGAAGGGGGTTCTTTCTTACTCAACGAATAGAGTCGGGGAGAGAGAGAGAGACAAAGAGAGGTTGAACTGAATGTTTTGCTGAGAGGATTTATATTAGAACTCTCTCCCAATTTCTCGATGTCTTGATTGATAAAGGTGTTCTTGGTATCTCTTTCTTGTTCTAGCAACGAACAGGAGTTTGATTCCTGCTTTTGTCTACATCATCACTTCGGTGTCATTGATTCAATCGGCAGATTGCCATTCCTGTGTAAAGATTCTTTTATCATGTATAGTTTCATAGCTATTTGTATATTTCCTATTAGTTTTAAGGAATCCTAATCTTATACAGTATTAGACTTTCTACCGTAGACTAACCACTGTTATCAAAACTGGTTTTTTCTGCATATGTATGCGGCTAGGACTTCCATCTCCAGACTATATACGTGTATAGTTATTTGATTTTCTCTAGCTATGTGTGTCAAACGAAGCAGCATGTTGTATTAGATTATATGTATACAAATTGGTTCAATTTGTTGGAAATGAATGAGTTGTTTTATTAAATTAGAATTGGCCCAGTCTGTTGGAAGGGAAAATACAGGTGTATAATACACACACACACACACGTGTTATGTATAGCTTGATCAAATAAAGTATGCATTTAGAGTTGGAACTATATATATACAAGTCGGACAAAAGCTTTTGTATAACTTGAGGCTAAAGTATTTCGATGTGCTTTAACTATAATTGAATTTGAGGTATTATACAATATGCTTAGGTTGATAACGTGATACTTGTAAATAGGAATTACGAGATGAATTGGCATGTTGACTATTACGTCACTTTGAGCAATGCTTTGGAATCCAGGTAGGGGAAATACGGCAGACCTTTACAGATATTGATGCTATTAAATTTCGTGAAGTACTATATTTGTGTTGGTTGATTAATGTGGTTGGACATTGTTTGGATTATTGCTTCAGTTCGTTGTTTACTTGTTAGTGCTACTAGAATGTTTTTCGTTGAGATATATTGTGACATGTGAAAGATGTAATAACGTTACTTGTGCATCACTCATGTGTCAATAGTGGTTGGAACTTTGTTGGTGAGAAAGGAATTTGGAAAGAGGGTAATGGAAATGATCTTTTGTGTAGTTGAGCCAAACTCTTAGTAGGTACCAGGTCTCAAGTGAGCCCACAGTGCACAGATTCTTTAAGGGTAATTCGGGACTGGCGACGAAGGGTTTTGGCAAGATGACTAACAAAAGGGGAAATTGGGATGATTGAGTTACATGGGGTTAATTTGTATATTAAAACATTCGAACCACCACTGCAAAGGTAAAATGCACGGTATGGGACATGCAGGTCCGTGTGTTTTATTATATAAATTAACGGGTAGAGATGAAGAGTATTGTATCGCACTCATGCATTGTTGATGATAATCATTTCGTACTTGATTACATGATTTTATTACACTTAATTTAATATTGTCAATTTATTGTGATAAGGTTATGTCCCTACTGAGCTGTTGAAGTTCACCCCTCTATTGTTATACAGGTTTACTAACTAAACTATCAAAAGGGTAGACGGGATGAGACGAAATAGATATGAGGCTAGAATTTGTATTTATTTATTTAGCTTTTTAAAGAATTATTGAGTTATTTTAAATAAGAAGAATTTTATTTTTCACTCCGTTATTTCAGTTTTATTATAATTAGTTAGCTTTTATCTCACATTTCGGATTCGGAATTATTTTTCCTATTGACCCCCGGTCCAGGGGCATGACAGTATGGCTGGTATTTTAAAACATTGTTTCCATGTTTTTGGGCCAAGCTTTAGTTGTTTATTTAAAAACTAGTGGAGTTCCTTGAAATATAATGAAAGTTTTTGTCTCTATATATAAAGTTCCCTATCTATTATATCTATTGTATTTTATAGTAAGTTTTTTTGGTAGTTTAAAATATTAAAATCATCAAAATAACTTTTTTCTTATCATGTGACTCGATAACAACCCTATTAGTTATCGTGTTGATCCGAAATCTATTATTTTTGTGTCGTTAACGGGTCGAGTAAGAAATTGCCATGGTCTAATCGGAACTAGATTTTGGGTTATGGGCTTTTGGGCTGAAACTTGAGATTTTTGGGCTGTGGGCTAAAATTTGGGCTTTTGGCCTGAAACTTTGTTTACCAATTTCATATCAATTGAAAATTAGGTTTTTTACCTCGTACCAATTGAAAGACCAATTCATTCATACCAAGCCAAATTGACATTCTGAAGTACCAAACTACTTAATTTCATACTTCTAATATAGTCTACTATCAAACTACTTAAATTCAACTTTCAACATGCGTGCAACCAAAATAAATATATTCATTTAGGTTCGGTTCGGCGGTTTGGGATTCCTGAACCATTGAATATGTAATTCTGAATCCTATACCATAAGGTTCGGGATCAATTCGGTATGGAGTCCTGAAAAGTATTATTGGTTTGAAAAAATTTTGGCATGGGATCGGAATTTTTTTGTTTAGTTTTGAGATTTTTGGGAAAAATATCTAGCCCTAAATACTAGGCCACCACATATGAAAAAGAGAGTTACAAATCAACAAAATAGTAGTCTCGGTCCTGAGTTAACGTCATTCAATTGTATGTTGAAAGGGTTACAAGTGTTGTTGTACAGTCATAATTAGCAGGACTTGGTGCTTCGCAGAGTTCTGTTTTCTTGAAAGAATTCTTGTTCATCCTGTTATCTCTTCACTGAAACACTAACCAATTGTTGGGTTTGGCGCTACCTTTGTTGCCATTATGTTTATCGTGCTTACAAAAAAGAGAGCATAATATACATAAGTACTCTACTTGTTTATCTTGCTGTGTGGTTCAATTTTGGTGCGGTTTCAAAATGCCAAAACAGAAACCAAACCGTTTTCCTTCACTGCAGTTAGGTTTCAAACTGAAACCATTTCAAAAACTGCAACACCAAACTGTTCGGTGCGATTCGATTTAGTTCGTGTTTTAGTTTCGGTGTTTGGTTCCAATGCCCACTCCTACTTGAGGGCATTCTAACCTTTCAATTGGTGTGTGAAGAGGAAACCATTGTACCAAATGAACATCCATGGGATTGGGACTTCGGTGGGGAAGACAGCCGGGAAGGCTTGATTCTCGACTCTTTCTTTTTAAATTATGTTTAAACTGTTCGATTAATTTTAAAAATTTTGAATAGCCACATACTGTTAGTGCATATTGATTGTAATTGGCATTTTCCTAGCCTAAACCTTTTATGTATAAGTTGAGTTTTAGTTATTAGGATTGGTTTTACTCAAGTTATTAGATGTTAGGATTCGTTGTACTCAAGCAATTAGATGTTATGATTGGTTCTACTCAAGCTATCGAAGATCAAGCTCAACCGATGATCACTATTCTACTGTAACTAAGTCACGAGTTCACTTTTAGAATGGTAAGTAATTGGTTCTTATTCGAATTAAGCTAATTAAGTTATTTTCGAAGTTCTGTTCTAAAACCTCTTCCGAGAACTTGTATTGAGAAGGATTTCCAGCAGAGCTGCAGTATTATATTAGCTTTCCTTTTCTGACCTAGAATTGAGGTGTGGATTATAAGTGACTGGTCCCTATGGAGAAAAGTCGTGAAGCGAGAATGTCATCGGAGTGAAAGACCACGTAGCGGTTGTCTAAGTCTTGGGAGTCTTGGAGGGTGTCCTTGCGTGCTAGGCTTAGGTTGTGTCATGGTGCTTGCGTACACTGGTTGTGTGCTCAAGGATCGTTATGTACTATAATTTTTTTTTTCCGCATTTTATTTATGTGCGTAACAAGATTGATATGCGCTTTCAATCTTGTCTGATTATTTTTTTTGCATTCGCTCATTGCACTTGTTTTCCATTTCCTTTGCATACCTGATCAACGTGATTAATAATTAAAGTTTGTGATAATTGGATTAAACCCATTCACCCCGTCGAGGCTTTGTGTTGCAACTTATTGCGTTTTCACATATGTATTTTTTTTATTCATTTTTAATTAGTAGATTAATATTTTAACATATTTATAACATAAAGTCAACACCAAAGTTGCAAACCTTGTAAAACACAGTAGCCAAACTGGCTAAATTAAAAACCCAATCACCAAACATACATGGCTTGTTTTATTAATACCCCACATTTTGTTAACTACACCCCACATACTTAATACATCCCACATTTACTTTTTAAATCAAAAATTTTCTTAACACACCCCCACGTATTTTCCAATACTACCCCCTCACACCTCACACCTCACATTTCACACACCCTACATCTCACATCTCACACACCCCACAATCATCAACTAATTAACCACACATCAAACTCTTCATCTCTTTCAAACAAAAGAATAATCCACATTTTAAAGACAAGAAAGATGAATTAAATTGTTGTATAAAATCTCCATCTTACCATTTGATTTATAAACATCCATCAAATTTTCTTGAACAATCGCGTTGGATTCTAAGAAGCCTGATGGACAAATGGTAGGAATTGTTTTTATAAGGTCACGTTGGATTCTCTAGTTTTCTTCCTATTTCTTGAATTCCAATTAGAGCAAGGCTTTACAAAAAGTCAAATTTTTATTCCATTATTTAAATAATTTCTTGAATGTGAAAATCAACAAATGAACGAGGAGCATAACTAGATTTTTTGTTCCGTTCATCAAAAGATATATTTTCTTCAACTTGTTTGTGTTTTTATGGTTTTGTTCTACAATGGATAGAGCAGCTATGAGGGTTCGAATAGTCATTTCATATTAGAGTTGCAAGTTGTTATTTATCCAGATACAAGAGAAATTTATATATATAATGATGCTTAATGACGTGTCAATAACAACTCCCAAAAAAAAAAAAAAAAAAAAAAAATAAGAAGGGACAACCGGCCAAAATAGAGAGCATCGTCAAGCCGGCCAGCTAATCTATTTCATAGGTTATTGATTGTTCAACATATTAGTACTACCATTATTTCTTATTCCATTATTTATTGTTAAAAGGTTTTGGATGGTCGTGGAAAGAGATCTAGACTTCAACAAGCACCCAATATGCAGATTCTTGTTGACAGTCGGCTTATTTTCTGCTTATTAACTAAGCTCCTTCACATTACACGAACACCATCAGCGAACAGCCACGGTCTCCTGTGGAACTCCGTTCAACGACGCTGCCGGGTGAACCTTATCTTTGCTGCTGGACATTTTCTGCTTCTCTGTACCTGCAACTGCTGCTGATTCCTGACTTGGTTGTTTTTCAGCTTGTACTGCCGGATATGATCTTCCACTCAAACGGACAAGATCCTTGATGGTCGATATGAGTTCATTATCCTTGATCAAAGCCTCCATTGTCACATGTACACCTGAGAACGCAATATACGGAATTGAAACCACAAATTCAAGATGCATTTTGTCATCTCTGAAACAAGTGAACATCCAAAATATAAACAACGAAAAGAAAAGGCAAGGCCAACTTAGTGGCAAATTGAATCTTGAAAACATAATCTTCACATACGGTATCTCCAATAGTGTTTGGGATTTGTGGGGTCATTGATCGTCTCCTCTTTTGCAGGGCGTGTTGTGTATTCTTCTTTCAACGCTAACAAATCCTATCGAGTGCAGAATTCATGAGGAAGGATCCAAAATAATTAACATACCATTGTATACTGTAGTATTATATGGTATGACTTGTTATGGAGGAACCAAATTTTCAAAATGTCTTGCGTTGTGCTTTCCAAGGTGTATCAAACTCCAATTGAGAACACACAAAAGACACATTAAAATGTCCAGCACAGTACCTGAAGCGGAAAAATGGCCCACATTGATGGTGCTTCAACATGTTGCCTTAAGATGAAATGTGCAATCTCTGGAACACATCGAGCAGGTGGTGACATGTCAGACCCCACCACATTCTTAAAATATCGCTGCCTTCTTTCTTCATCTTCTTCCCACCAAGCACGCAAGGTTGAGCAGTCATGGCATGACGGAGCACATACCTAAATGCAGTTATATGAATTAACAACATTTCAATGAAAGTTGAGATCTTGAGCCATGTGACCAAATTTTCTTTATACAAAATCTCAATAAACTTATGCTTTAAACAGAAATAACAGAAATTCCAAGCTTTCTATAGGGTTAAAGTTTTTACAAAAACTACAACAGGATCAAGTTAATTTGTTCCCCATTCACTCTTTCAAGAGATGATTTTCTGAGTGGCATTTTCTCTAAAAAGATGAGGAAATTAATCTATTTCTAGGAACTTAATCCTTAGGAAGCAAATCGATGAAGCATGATCTTTCCATCATTATGAAGGCGATAAATATGACCCATTATCTTACTGTCATATAGCCATATTGAGAAGGAATACCAAACTCCAAATCAGGTTCACTGGGCATGCGCTGAATGCGTAAACCTATTAATCCTAGTTCTTGCATCACCTGCATCCAAAACCAATCACAAAATAAGAAATCAATAAAAACAAGGAGGGCCAACAAATATCGAAATCAGGCTGAAGTTTATAGTGGTCGTGTGAGTTGGGAAAGGCTGAGCAAACATACAGGATGAACACAAGAAGGAATAAGCCCCAGATCTTCCCCACAGGCAAGCATATCTGATGAGTTAAGCAGAGCAGGTAACGTTTTCAAAGCATTCTCCCGCCAAAGATTTTCTTGCCGGTGGAAGTAGTAATCATAGTATAATCTTTTCAATACGTTTTTGCTGTATCACACAAAAACTGATAAGAAAATACATATGATGGAAGTAAATCAGCACAAACCGACAAGAGGTGAGAGGGGGGAACTCTTTTGTAACAATGAACAGAAGAAAACCAAATGACTTGATTTTAAAAAAGGGAACTTTAACGAAAAGCTTCCGGTACTGTTCACTTTAACGAAAAACTACATTTTTACACTAAAAAGTCAATCATGGTACTATTCACTTTACCCTTTATTTTGTCCTTATTGTTAAAACTTAAGAGTTTTGAAGCTCTTTTCATTAGTGGTTCTCCTACCAAATTCTTCTCCATCAAGATAATATGACCAAATAAGCTAATCTCATGTTCCCAAACCAGAAACTTTTCGAAGTACCTGTGGTCGTCCAAATCATTAAAACTTGGTGTATCTTCAAGATTGAAACGAGGATAGAAATTCCTTGGATTTTCTGGATCTCTGATGAGAACTATGTTCTGCAATAACAATTACATAAAATATTAACCAACGAACAGCAGTACCAGTGGCAATCCCTTTAAAATACTTGGGAAACACACGAAAAGCTTCTAGCATATGTCTAGAAGAATCCAGTTTTCTTGTTTTCATTTTGTAGAATCATTTTCTAGAAACAGGTTTGCAACACTTACAGACCCTAAAAGTTCTGAGAAGTACATTAGAATTGTGTTCATTCATCCAATGTAATTATGTTAACTCAACTTAACTGACTAATAACAAGCCTAACTGATAATGCTGACATAACATTGACATGGTAAGTCACTAGCCTTATATTATTAGCATTTGCTACCTGTATAAGATCAAAGGAACATCAGTCTAGAAAACAGTGTGAAACTCTTTGATAGGAAAGCAACCTGTATAAGATCAAAGAGTTCATGCCGTATCTTCTCTTCATCCTGCAACAGAGACCTTTCTGCAAATGATTTCAGCTTGGAAGCAATTTTTTTCTGAGTGTTGCAGTCCTCCTTAAACTGATAATCAAGAATGGGAAAGAAAAAATGTTCTTGAATACAAAGTTTAATTCCGTGGTCGACTACAACAGAAAATACAAGAAGTAATGGACACTGAAGAAAAATACTAGAAGTAATGATCATACAAAGGACTGAAGTAGGAGTGTTGGATTTCACAGCCTGAAGTTTATCTATGGTTCAAATTGTTTAAAACTAACTTTTTAACCAGCCCAAATCTCCATGCTTTCAAAATGTAGCTGTACAATAGAATGAACATAATTACTGCCCCACATCCCAACAGTTTAAGCTTTTGGCAGAAGTGGTAAAAGAACAAACTTTATCATGACATCAAGGCAAGAGGCCATGAGTTGGAATCCCTACAATAGCACGCTCCCACTATAAATTCAATTCCATAAGTTTAAGCTCTAATGGTGGAGAGAGAGGCACATGTGAGGAGTGTTAGAATATAAAAGTATTGTTAGCCTACATCCTAACAGCTTCAAATTTGGGAATAGAGGTAATCAAACACTCTTTATCAACAATATCGATGACGTTGTCCATATTTCTTCAGGTGCATCTACAGGGCATACAAAGTTCAGAATAGGGAAGAAATCTCATCCGAGATCATGAGTGAGTGATTAATGGTTATTAATGAAAATGCAGATAAAAATCTCCAAGATTAACCAATAATTTTCACCTCATAGCGGTTCTTCTGATATTCATTTAGAAAATTTGAGGCAATAAAAGTCCATGAAGCTCCAAATTTATCCTGAAACAAGAAAGTAAAATTTATAGAACACAAAAGGGATCGATAAAGACAAGAATAAAAGACAACAAAGCTTACAAAAGTAAGATAAAATCATAAAGGTAATCATAGTTCAGCTGCAAATCTGCAATAAGTTGATAATAAATTAGGAGAAGTAAATTATAGATGACTAGGAAGACTTGGTTACCTGTAAATATTCCTGCAGAATATATGGGCGACTCAAGCGATCAAAATCCCATATGCCCTCTCTTTCAAGTTCCTCCTACAACAGAAGGATTAATTTTTGTGAACTAACTTTGAAAATGAAGAAAAATTAATCCTTGATAACAAGTCACAATGTTGTAGCCATTGTCTCATCTTGCCAAATGATATTTGACTAACAAGTCTACCTGACTTAGTGGAATGGAAGGTCGAAATTTCCCAACAAGACCAGTCATGGCATGTTCTGGGAGCTCCCAGATACGAAAGAAACCCAAAATGTGATCAATTCTGTAAGCGGTAAAGTATTTTGCCATCTGTCATATAAAACATAGAAAGATATTTATCTAAAATGCAAGCAACAAACAAAGGTACAATAAAGAAGGAATAATAGGGAAATCTAGCAAGAAAAACCTGTGTCAAACGAGCACGCCACCATGCATAGTTGTCTTTCGACATCTCCTCCCAATTGTAGGTAGGGAAACCCCAATTCTGCCCATTTTTATCAAAATAATCTGGAGGAGCTCCAGTGGATGTGTTCATGCGGAACAAATTTGGATTAACCCACGTATCCACACTGTTTCTGTCAACACCAATAGGTAGATCTCCTTTCAATATTACACCTTTCCTTCTTGCATAATCTGCAGCTTCTGAGAGCTGCCATTCATGAAATCACCAAAGAAATCAACAATGGATGCCACGGTGAAATTGGATATCTAACAGAACGTGCAGATGTTGCTAATAGTTAGAATAAATACTACTTACTTGTCCATACAAATGAAATTGGACATAATAATGGAAGCAGATTATGTCATAGTGACAGCTGTCTTTGGAGCTGAGTTTCTCTAGCTGTCAGAAAGAGAAAGCCGAATGTTGGAGCTTTAATATTATAATATCTATATAATCAGAACTCAAATTTTGAACTAATTAGCAATATATATGAAAGGTAGTACCACACAGTTGACAAAGGAAAAAAAAAGTCCAATTCCCAGTTTAACACAAAGAAGGGTGATCACCTTTTCTTTTGAAAAATGAGAAAACCGACCCCATTGACTGTGATCTGATGTTTCAAAGAAGTCCCGTAAAAAACAGAAGGCCGCATAGGGTTTTAGCCAATCCTATAACCAATGATCAATAGAGAAAATCTTAGCACTTCAAGTTGAAAAGGGAAGCCGAAAACTTCTAAAATAAGCAAATATTATTATAATAGCAAGAAAAAGAGTTAAAACTATGTAACCTGATTCTCAGAAAAAAAATTCTGGAAGGAACTGGAGTTAAGAATCAAATCCTTCTCTTGAGCAAATACTTTATTCGCAATAGAAAGTTTGGTAGTCAAGGTAGCCTCATAATCAACATCCTACACAGATGCAAACTAAAATATGTTAACTTCAAAATCACTTTGTATACTTAGTGTTATTTAGAGATCATCGTACTTATGTCCATGAAATTTGTTAATAATATTTTCATGTCATCAAGAAAAAACAGAACTACCAAAGATTTCCAACCTTTGGGTGAAACAGATGGTCCTCAACAGTCATGTGCTATTTTTGAGGTAACCTGATTACATCTAAATATTCACACTCCAATACATATAAATATTCACACTCCAATACATAAGAATGTCATCTTTTCATTTTCAGAACAAAGGATAACATTTAGCGGCAAAAAGAAAAACATAAAAGAAAGGAAATAATAAATAAATAACAATTTGTTTGTCATCATTAGATAATCTTTTATGATTCTCATGTCCAGAGTGGACCCTACACGATTTGGATGAAAAACATATTTTTCGAATAAGAATTTGTGATCATTGTCTTTCATCAGACAAAGTTCTTGTTTAGAACAATAAATGGATTTAACTTTAGCCTGGACTGCATTGCTACTACATGGTTCCATGTTTGGTGCAGTATAGGTTTTTCCACTTTGATGTAATAATGTTTGGAAACGCAGACCCATGTTTCCGTAAGACAACAAACCATAAGAGCTTAAGGCATTGGGAAATAGGTAAACAATGTATATCAACCAAACACTCTCCTTCACATGACATGGAGCCACATCCAGCACGTGGTGAGGCAGACAAATGCAGACACATAAAAACAGATTAATACAGAGTCTACAGACCACCTGCACCTTGAAATTAGCTAGGCAGAACCTCCTGTGACTAGAGATCATATTAAATCCGTGGGTACAACTGATCCTCCGGAAACTGGCTTGCAAGTTATCAGTGATACATAATGAATATTAGGAATTAAGGTTAATGGTTGATTATCAGGCATCTTTCCAAAATTATGGTATAATTCATAGAGTTGATTACTAGAGGAATTTATGTCCTGGAACTCTATAAAAAAATGTAGTACTTCCATTCGAAACTGAAATGCAAGTGTTTCTCTTTTTAAACATGGTAGTAGGGTAACGCTGGAGACCTAAACCACTACCACCCTTACCCTTCTTTGACCATAAAAAGGAAAAATAAAAAAAAGAAGAAAACATACTTCTTTTTTGTTACTGTTCCATAGGTTCCATTAATCTTCTTGCCCAGATCTCGTGTCATTTCTCTTCTTACTCAGGTTCTCATCTCATGTCTTTCTTCTCATGGATGAAAAGACACAGAACAAGGATTCTGCCTTATTCTACTTTTATGACTAGTGCGAATACCTTCAATGGGTCAGAGTTGACTAGGGTTTCCTAAAACCTCATAAAATGCTTTTGACTCTCTTTGAAACAAGCTATGATTCAAAACTGGGTCTTCTGCCCATCCTAAAATCTTGTGGTCTTTAATAGGGTTATTTCCATTTTGCTATCTGGAAGTTTAACCGTTTTCAGCCTTTACCACCTATAGTTTTTTTCTTGACATTTTTCATATACAAACTTTTGTTTGAGGACAGATTATACCTTCAGCCTTGTCATCAAGAGGTATTGACATGGCAGTAGATGGACCCGCAAATCGATGAGAAACAATAAAAGAAACTATAAAAAGTTATTAAATTAATAAATAAAAATCGAAAAAATAGGAAAAATAAAAAATGGTTTATCTTGTAGTGGTTGTCAATCAAAATAAGCCTCTTAATAGACGTTCAGGAAAACAAGCCTCTTAATAGTTGAATTGTAATTATTTTGTGCCAAACTTGTACCTTCCCCTACTTGTTCAAAGATAATACCATCACTAATGAACAGAGAAGGCCTCTTGCACGAAATGTTTTTCAAATTTCAAAGTCTGGTCCAGCTTGCCTACTAATGTACTAGTCATTCATAGTTAGAATAGTAAACTCATTAATGTGATGTAATGATATGCAAGAAATAAATATAATCTTGTAAGGAACTACCTTTCCATCCAATTGTTCTTTTGCCTTCTCAATCTCGAGCTATAAGAAAGAAAACGAAGGAAAAAAATCAGGAATCAAGTGATAATAATGAAAAAACGAAGGAAAAATCAGGAATCAAGTGACAATTTAGCATCCTTCATAGGAAAGCATAATAATTACTCAAGTTTGTCTTATTATACAAGTAAAAAAAAATAATTATAAGGATCACCTTGATATCCGAAGACATACTTTCTGAAAGTTCCTGTACTCTCAGGTATAAAGGATGCAATGCAAATACAGAAAGTGAGCTGCATGATGAAGAAATGAAAGCCAAACTTTGAATGAGATGAAACTTTCAAAATAATAACATGAGTATCATAGAAAAAAACAATGCAATTTTGATGTGCATTTTAGTCAGCGAACAATGAACAGAATACAACAAGGTGGTTTTGTAATCGAAAAAATATGAAGATAAAAAGGGTAGTTTTGTACTCTATTGGACCGGAGGGAGAGAGAAAAGGATCAGGACGAGGGGAAGGTGGGGAGAAATGAGAGCGTTTTCATTTTTTGGTTGGGAGGGAGTTTAAAGTGGAAAGGTAAGGTGAAGAGTCGTCTCAATTTGTTCTTGATCCTTCTTATCCTCCAACAAACCCCACTTGAAACGAGGTATATCTGCTAACTTATATCTACACTTTTTTTCCCCTTCCTTACCACTTCTCCTTTCTTTATGCCAACCAAGAAAAGAGATAATAACATCCTTTCCTGATTGCTTTACTCTTCCCATGTAATTTCCCCATCCATTTTTCCAATTATCCACCCTCCCTTCCTTAGATCAAATTGGTGTACCGTTCAGGCCCTCAGGGAGCTAGAGAAGATGAAACCACCAGATGGAAATTACTTTTCCAAGGCAATTGCTATTCAATACAACAAGAAAGCTTTTCCCATTTATGATATTGGATTTAATGTTTAGATAATAATCAGAGACATAGGAACTTAAGACTGCACATATTATCCAGCTAAAAGTGGCAAACAACCGAAATTGTCTCCCTACAAAATTTCAAGCCAGTTTTATGCATCAAACTTTGATTTAGCTTCTATAAATAGCCAATGGCATCAAGACAAAAACGTTATAGTAATATGATAATGAGGTGTCAACATACCTGTAGGGGTATGAATCCCACCACATTCCATGCACTGATGTATCATTAATAGGTAAAAGCTGAACCAAATGAAAGCCAGAATCTGCAGCCCAGTCAACAACTAATTTCAGGTCAAGAAACTCTCCAACTCCAAGATCATTTTCTGATCTAACAGAAAACATTGGGATTGCAACACCAGCACCCCGCCAAGGCATTTCCTAACATCATCAATCCAAAAAACAATGATCAACAGAGGAACACTTGCGCTACAACACGTGCTTATATATTTTCTCCATTATGCAACTGAATGTTTACTTAATCATAATTCAGGGTAAGTAGGAGTTCACTAGCTTACTCGCAACATGCCATCTGAAAGAAAAATGTATCTCGGTTGAGTTTTTGAGGAGTCAAGAACAAGGTCACGGTTTGGACCATTTTCTGGAGAAAAGTTTCCTGCGTTGCCATATTTGCAATACTTATATGTGGACCATCTGTTAAGGAAGAAAGAGAGGGATGGTCTAACAATAACCATAACACATTAAAATTTAATGATAAGGATAAGGTCAAATTGTCCAAGATAAAGCTTTGACAAGGATATCTTATAGGGAAATCACTCTTCGGCAAAACACAGTCAGCATGCCAAATGGATTCACCAGCGTAGCTTAGTTTAAGCCCATTCTGAACATTCCACTGTCCCAACTTTGAGGTGTTACCAATAATAAATATCTGCAACAGTTTTGACGAAAAATAAAAAACTGCAATAATCAAGCTTGGATATCTTTCAGGTAGTAACCCCACCTTGATTGAAAAAAATTATATTTTTAGCAAGCATGGTTGCAGATAAGTATGAACAATTGACTAGAGAATAAGGGGCAGTTACCGCTGTTTCTTCTTCTATGTTTGGACAGCTGATTTTGAAATGGACAAGAACAGAATCTGTCAATGGGAAGGCACATATCACATGATTTAGCTAAAGAAGAGAATATGAAAATGTAATATTACATGAGCAGTAACCATAATCTTCAATTCGAGTACAATTACCATCCTGGTCCAAAGTGTTTTGGATGACTCCAGGAGGTACTTCAATGTCCAAACTGAATTTCGAATCAAAGATGACGTCTTTGAACGCACTTCTAAAAGGAAGTGAATCGGCACCCACCTGGATTTGAACAGAGCTTTTAGATCAAGTTGTTGATGAACCTAACATTACTCTGCATGTTATGTTCTAACAACTGGAGGAAAGCAGCTAAGTGGAAGATAATATTATTAAAAATAAATAGAAATACTACTCAGTTCTAACATGGCATCTCTAAAGTTTTTAATTAAAGCTTAAAAGGCTAGAGGCCAAATTTTGATTAAAAGAAAGCAAAGAAACCAAACACAAAAAACACTAAGATTAAGAAACCACAATTTCTGGTGGAATGTTGCAAGATTCCGAATTTGTTCTATCTTTTTCTTTATTCAATCACAGTCACAGCGACTGAACGAATCATATCACAAAAAGAAAGCAATTACTATAACATTCCCAATATCCTATACCATCCAATGGCTAACTCTTACTGTGTCAATCATAAAAAATACAAAAATTAAAAATTAAAAAAAAACCAGAATCAGGCAATAAAAGTAAAAGGGATTATTAAGTTAATGGTAAACAAAAATTATTAATAACCGAAAAGGTCGAGAAAGAAAGAAAGAAAGAGACCTGCCAAAGGTCATGAAGCTCCACTGCCTCTGCATCTTGGATCCCCTCAGGCAATAATACTTTACGCTTATCTCCCATTTCCCATCTCAGAACGTTTCGCTTCTCATCGACGACATAGTAAGTGTAGTCACATTTGAAGCCACTTGGAACAGAGATGTTCCCAAACCATATGAGCTCCTTCCCATGGTGGACAGGGCTCAGTTGCAGACCCTTTTTGATATTCCATGAACCAAGCACCGGCTCGGAGCCGCACACCAGCAGGCTTTGACCCCACTCAGTGTAATACGGTATCCTGAAGCTCACATTCACCGGCTTACAACTACTATACTTGCTGCTGCTTCCGGACAACAATCCCAATTCCACCATTTTCTTTTTCTTCAAAAACTGATCGGACCCAGATCTCAAGTTTCTATCAGTTTCTGGTCCTGCGCAATTGAGAAATGAGTAATTAAGAAGCATGAACAAATCACAAACAATAATAATGGTCAGAAAAGAAAAAAGCAGTGAAATTTACGAAACCCAGAAGGGGAATTCCATTCCACTGTTTGTTTCCCGAGAAAATTAAGACAAACCCAAATCAAAACCAAGAAAATCAAAACAGAGCTTCACTCACATGAACCGAAAGCTTTTGGTTCCTTTGTTCCGAGTCGGTTGGCTCGCTCGTTTTATCATATCAAAACACGAGTAAAAGCAACAGTGGCCAACCAATACAATCAGATGCAAAACAGATTGAAAATATCAGAGATGGTCATTTGTTTGATTCGAAAAAAACAAAAAGCAGATTTCTTTTTCCCTTTCTATGAATTGAATTAAACACAGATTTATTTACATATTATTTTTGGAGAATGAGGAGGAAATGCAACGCAAAGCTGATCTCACGGGAGAGTGACACTTGACAGTTGGTTCCGAGGAGAGAGAGAGAGAGACTTGAGATCACACCCTTTCTCTCTACATTTAACTTTGCAAACCAAGGACTTTTTCCAATCGTAATTTCTGGCTGCACAAAAAATGGATATATCATATGCTGCTGTCTTTTAGAACTCTAATAGCCGTACAATATATTTCTTCCTTTTCAAAAACAAAATAGATTAAAAACTAAATTCACTCAACTCAACCACGTGATTGATGAAACAGTCTCATTCACGACAAAGTTTTCCCTTTAGTGATTTTCATAATTTCATACATCAAGCTTTTTTAGGCTTATTATATTAACACTTATACATTGTTGAATACATCCTACATTCTTAATAAACTCTACATTTGCTTTTTCAATTAAAATTTGTCTTAATACATCCTCACATAATTTTCCATAAGCGCCCTCACACTCCACACTCAACATAAACCTTACATTTTCTCCATTCATCCCACTTTTCTTCATACACCTCACACTCTTCACAATGATTTCGTTCTTTTCTTTATTTATTTATTTTTTTAGTCTGTGCTATGTACCGTTCAAAATTATTCATGTCATACAAGTATTTTCTTATTGCTACAGAGGATTCAAATAGAGGAAAGTAGAAGCTGCTTGGGGAACCTTACAAAAGTGAAAGGACATAAGTTTCGACACAATAGAGAGGGTTAAGAGCATATAGATGTAGAGCAATCTGTTTGAATTTTTTTTCTTAACCTTTTTTCCATCTAATCAACATTGATTTGCGAGGGGCTGTATCTCAAAAATGATAATTTAGGAAATAAGATGATGATGTGAGGAGCTTAGGCTCTCTATGTCCATTTGGTATTTAAATTCGGCAGTATAAAGTATTGGTCTTGGGCTGAGATGCACACTAAATGATATTTTATGCATCACATATCATACTCAAACACAATGCTGTAAATACAAAAATTGTCTCTTGAAAGCACAAATGCAATTTAGTATTATCTTATCAGTAAATTATTTTTAGAACATGGCTTTTGTGAAATAGCATCACCATTATCATCTTTGCGAAAGAAGGGGATGACTGTAATCTAACACCAATGAAGTTTAACCTTCATTAATGAAGTTTAACCTTCATCCACCTGTGACAGTACATTTTGAACAAGATGAAGCTTCCGAAACATCAATTTCATGTTCCGTTTGTCAAAAATAATTTTTCTCAATCAATGTGTTTGTAGTTTCATCAGTTACGTTTTTGTTCTACAATGGAGAGTGGGAGTGGTTTAGAGAGTTGGAGAAGATAAATAATCTTGTGATATACATGTTAAAAGTGATTTGGAGTGTATTTAGTATTTTTTTTAAAATTTTAAACCTTATAAGGTTGAAAGTGTCATTGCATGATAGAGTATATAAATCATTTAATATTAAATTTTAATGTGGGGTATATTCAACATTATGTGGTTTTCCCTTTAGTGATTTTCATAATTTCATACATCAAGTTTTTTTATCTTACTTTTATGTTTAAAGTGAGACTTGTGAAACTTTCGTACTTTTGTTAGCCTTCCTATCAAACCCTCTCGTAAATCGTGACATAGCGTCTTAGAGCCCACGTTGAAGCTAAAAAAATTAAAAATTAAAGAAATAATAATAAAATAAGGTTATTTTATCAACAGCCCCATCCCCCGGATTTGGTTCCCATCCGGATCCTCACATCCTATCCATTCATGTACGTTGTGCAGATAAGATGTGAGGATCCATAGGATCCTTTTTGCCCATCCCCCTACTTCAAACCAAGCAGCCCCATCCCCCACCTCGAACCACACTTGTCTTATCCCCCATCCCCCATGCTAGCAAGAGCAGATCGCTGCCACCCGCTTCACCGCTTTCAGTCTCTTCAACATTGACGCCCTTCACAGCTCCGACAACGACAGCAATGAAAGTGACCTCGACTTCAACCGTCGGTATAAATTACACTTTTCAACAGTCCAAGTTAATATTTAGGAGAGAAGATCCTCACTAGATCCTCTTGGTGAGGATTCTAGGGATCTTTCAATCACATTCATTCATCGTACATTGTGCGGCCAGTTTTTGTCAGGTACTGTTTATATTCAATTTTTAATAAAAAAATTTACAATGATTTCTGACCACATGATGTATGATGAATGGATGTGATTGGAGAATTCAGCAAGGATCCTCCTAGAACATTTAGGACATCTAAGTCTATATAGATGGGTTTGTTTTTATTATAATTGATAATTTTTATAAAAAATTGGGGCATTTATAAAATGAGAAGGTACGTCTTAGTCATATACGATAAATTCTCCTCTTAGAAATCCTTAATATCTAGGATTCACTCATCACAAATAAGAGTGACCAAGGGCAGAGCCAAGGTAGGGGCAGTGGGATTCCTTGACCCCAATAACCTTATGCAGAACTGGTACTTGAAATAGAGGACTGAAGAAGATCAAATGGCGAAAAAATGGCGCAAGCACAACCACCTAGGGAAAAAACCCAAGAGGTCCCAGAAATGGAGGTGAAAGAAAACCCAAGAAGTCCATCGTTCAAATTCAATGCACAGGCACCTGAATTTGTGCCAAGATCACATGCCCAGATGCCAATTTCTGGTTATTTCTACCCCCGCTTTCACTTTCTTGGTGACACTGCTTCCCCTGATTGGTTTTACATTGAGGACCAAGAATTGCATCCTTACTTGATCCCCAATAATCCCAATATCGATCCGCTTTCCAATCGGTCCAAGAACGCAATCCTGGATGATCTTCAGCAGAAGATCATCAAGCAGGTGATGTGTCTTTGATTGTTAATTCTTTTTATTCCTTTTGTTTTGTTGATCAAGGAAATATCGTTTGTCGACTGTGAATCTAGACTATTGACCAGGTTGATTTTTGTGTGGATGTGTAATGGGTTCAATATGCCAAAAGAATGTTACCTATGTGTTCAATTTGCGTAATTATGTACGTAGATCTGTATATTTTTTTAAGGAATTCGATAAAATATATGTCTGGATTTTTGGGTTAAGTTGGGCAAACTAGGATCATCCTTTTGGTTATAGGATTTTCGTTGTGGATCTTATCCAGTTTAATATAAGAAGCCATTGAAAGCGTTCGTCCAATGTTGTCGATGTCCCATAACGAAATCTGTATCGAAATGTCTTAAATAGTTGGAGATCCTCTAGAAATTATAAGCCATCATTTCACTCTTTCAAATTTGCAATGCATGAGATGTTAAATTCTTCTAACATTTAGGACTAGACCATAGTCATTAAACAATTAGGACTGGACCATGATAGTACCTAGTCATTTTTTCGCCCTTTGATCTTCCCTTTCGCCACTCTTTTCTTTGTTTTAGGGGGCTTCATTTGTATCCAATGCTCATTCTTTTGTTTCGGCTTCACAGAAATAATACCAAAAAGAAGTGTGATTTATTACTCAAAGAAGGCGACATTCTTGGTTTGGCCAAAAGGATACTACCTGCTGTAAATCTTTCCCTATCAAAGACGAGAGCGCTTTTCTCAGGAGAGCCATCCATGACTCTCAAGGTAATGACAAACAAAACATCAAGGCAGTGTTTGAATTTGGAATTGCTTGCTTTGTGTGATTAGTAATGGAAGTTCAACTTTTGACCCCATTGTCTTAAATTCCTGGCTCCGCCACTGGATAAATGTGTTCATTTTTATTGGTGACACATAATTTAGTTTGCAAATTTTGTCTATAAATTAAGTCTCCCTAGCAATACCTTACTTTTAAATGTTTAATTTTATTATTTTACCATTTTTATTTAGCCTTAAATTCAAATTTAACATATTTAGCCCATGTTTGATCAGATTAATAAGTCCAATCTAATCCAAAACAAAACAATGCTAGTGATATTAAGCTCATTTAACTAGTTTATCCCATTTTTTTATTTTCCCATTTTTCCTTGATTATATTAGCCCACCCCTTTGAGTGAACATAATATGAAGATTCATCACCTTATGTTTTTTCTTGTTTGGCATCATACCGTTACATGTACGAACATTGTTTAACCTCTGAAAATTTCGTTGCGCAAGAGTGACATTTTTTCACATAAGTACAGTCGAAACGTAGCTCAACTAAATATTTGATAATGCAAACTGCAATGTTAGTTTTCACGTTCAAACGAATAACATGCATCTCAACATCATGACTGGTAAGTTTCCATCATTAATGTATTATTGTGATTTCACATTACGTGTTTTAAGTGTCTAACAAACCAAGCAAAAAAGTCTGAATAATATCCCTATATTATCAAAGCTCAATGAGCATTTTTTGCTTTTTAGCTCACAACTCTCCAAAATTCAAGTCCAAGACGTTAAGGGTGCGTTTGTTGCACCGAACTATCTCGGACTCGACTAGCTTCAGGGACTAAGCTAGACTGGCTTAGACTACACTAAGCTAGATTGACTTAGTGAAGCGTTTGGTGCAGTGTCGAACTAAAAAGTAGGATAATACCAAACTTGTCACATCCCGACCTAGGTCCCCACCACATCCGGGCTCGACTCCGTCATAGCACGATATTATCCGCTTTGGGCCCCAATCACACCCTCACAGTTTTGTTTTTGGGAACTCACACGAGAACCTTCCAGTGGGTCACCCATCATGAAATTGCTCTCGTGCGAACTCGTTTAACTTCGGAGTTCCGATGGAATTCGAAGCCAGTGAGCTCCCAAAAGCCTCGTGCTAGGTAGAGATGAGAATATACATATAAGGCTTACAGGATCCACTCTCATGGGCAATGTGAGATGTTACAATCTACCCCCCTTAGGGACCCGACGTCTTCGTCGACACACATCCGGCTAAGGATTGGCTCTGATACCAAATTGTCATATCCTGGCCCGGGCCCCCACCACATCCCAGGCTTGACTCCGCCATAGCACGATATTGTCCGCTTTGGGCCCCGACCACTTTCTCACGGTTTTGTTTTTGGGAACTCACAAGAGAACTTCCCAGTGGGTCACCCATTATGGGATTGCTCTCACGCGAACTCCCTTAACTTCGAAGTTCCTATGGAACCCGAAACCAGTGAGCTCCCAAAAAGCCTCGTGCTAGGTACAGATGGGAATATAC